ACTCAAGAACACCAAATATACCATGGTTCACCTTTCCACAAAGGAAAGATTACATCCACGTTGAGCTCCAGGAATTTTTGGGGCTCACTGCACTAGGAATAAACGTTATTATAGATTATAGAAAAACTCTCACTGATTTACCCAAAGATCAATCAAGAAACTCACTCACACAAACCTGACAACAATCCCTAGAGATGACCTGATCCAGTCTCTCTAAACCTGAAGGAACAACCTGCCCTCACCCAGGATTACACAGATTTACAACTCTAAACAAGATTGAAACAAACTCTCAATACTCAAAGGTAAAAACAGATCTGATGCATAAAAGAGAAGAAGCAAAAAACTGTTTATGTGTAAAAAAGCTATCCCTTTTACAGTTTGACCTTGTGCGCTAATTCTGGCCCTTGGATCTGCTTGATTTCAGCAGCTGAGATCTGCTCTAATCTTGAGTGAAAACTGCAGCGTTTTGCTTAATGAAATTCTACATAAACGTTGCTTTTTGAGCTTCAGATATTAACAATATAAATGTTCATGAAGAGCTAAATGATATCGAGAAAGCAACTCCAACTCAAATAATCAGGTGGCCTTCCCTTCATCTTCTTTCTGGTGAGCTCTCTATCTTAAACCCACATCAATGTTTTTAAGATGATCTTTATCTTATTATGTTATTCACATTAAACAGGAAAAAATAAAGCATTGTATTTTGACATATGTGTTCCTCTTAACAACGCTGCAATCAACGGCGACATTGAAAAAGTTAAGCGCTTTTTAATGAGAACGAAACATCATCATCCCTCAGTGCTATGTAAAGGGTTATGAAACTATTCTTCATGTAACAGTAGCTGCAGGACAAACAAGGCTTGTCCGGGAGATAGTGAAATTGATGAAACCAGAAGAGTTAATGTTGCAAGACATTAATGGGAATACAGCCTTTTGCTTTGCTGTCATGATTGGAAGCTTACAAATTGCACAGATTATGCTGGAAATTAATCAAAATCTACTGACAATCCAAGGCGGTAAAAATATGCTTCCACTATACTTGGCTGCTTTATTTGGACATGAAGAAATGGCAAAGTTTTTATACCGTAAAACTAAACAGTGTCTCACCAAAGAGGACCGCAAGTCAACATTTATTGTTAGTGTTCATATGGGTCTATATGGTAAGTCTCTCATCTATATTTAGATTAATTTGAACAGTATTATTAAATGCAATTATTAGTTGACATACTGGCATTGACTTATGATGCTACGTTTACATTTGTTCAATAAAATTATCATATATTTGCATTAAACCATTAATCATGATGGTGGTTAAAGAAAGACAAAAAATAATGAATAAACAATATATCTGATTTGTCCTAATTTGTTTCATTCTATCATAGTGCTACATTAAATATATTATATGGTATTTAAATAAGTGTTTGGGACAAGCTAATACTATAGTACTACATTACATATATATGTCCAAATGGTTTTTTTTTTTTTTTTTTAAAAATTTTATCAAATGGTCTTTTTTTTTTTTTAAATGACCGGGGTGTCCGAGCTAGCTTACGTGTATTTTAAATAATCTCTGGGGACCCTAGAACTATCGGTCGGGTAAGAGCTCCAGTGGCCACTCCTATTAGCAACCGATGAGAGACTCGAAGTTAGGACCTTTTGAGTAATACACCCAAGATTTTCTATCAAATCACTCGACCACCCAAAGGTAGTTCAGATGGTTCCTGTAACAACTGCTGTAAACTAGTACAATGCATGCATAATAACAATAGAAAATGGGCCCAAAACTTTTCCTTTTTATTATAAGTCATACGTCTTTTATACACAAAGAACATCATTTACAAAAATGCCATTTTAAAAGACAACACAGGGGAAACAGTGTAGCTATTGCTCCTCGCTTGCCGACGCCCCTCCGACTGCATCATCACCTAGATCCTGCATCCACAAAGGAAAATAACGGGGTGAGCACAAAATAATGCTCAGTAAGTAAAACCCTCTATCTGTCTATCCCCGTATGTAATTCTCTTAATTCTTTCCTCACACTTTCTGTTGTTCCCTACTAAACGTCATGGCCTCATCTTACCGGAGGTACGGCCGGATGGCGTTCACATAGCACCATCTCACTCTTCAGGACTATCGGGTGGAATTCACACAGCACCAACCCGTTCTTAGTGACTATCGAGTGGGGATCACGAAGCACCTACCTGATTTTTGTAACCATTGGGTGGAGACCACATAGCACCTACCCGTTCCGCATGACTTTCGGGTAACGATCACCAAGCATTAACCCGTTCCTAATCATTGTCAGGTGATGATCACAAAGCATCAACCCATCTCTAATAAATATCGGGTGATGATCACAAAGCATTAACCCCTTTTCTAATAACTAACCGGGTGATGGTCACAAAGCATCCACCCGTTTCTAATACCTATCGGGTGATGATCACAAAGCATCAACCCAATTCTAATGGCTATTCGGGTGGTGATCACAAAGCATCAACCCGATTCTCATAACTGTCGGGTGATGATCACAAAGCATCCACCCATTTCTAATACTCTTCTCATTCACTCTATTCTAGCACTTCTCATTCTCTCTACCCTTAGAGTAGTTGCATCCACAAAGTTCTCTACTCATAGAGCAAGTGCATACACAAAGTTTCCTACTCTTTCTTAGGTCACTTCTCAATGCACAATTAATGCCTATGGATGGTTCATCTCCACTAATGCACTTATGAAATGCCAACATGCAATGTTGCAAGAATTAAGGTTCACTACTCATACTCAAACCTCTATTAGGCATTTCATCAAACAACTCAAGTGCATAATAAAACTCTACTATAACAATAATTCTAAATCTTTCTCTAACCATCCAAAATGGGGAGAAACCCCCTCACATAGCCACGTATCCTGCCAAAGAAAGACACTTCCAAAAGGATTCCTCAATACCCTTCAATTCCATCTCAAACTACCTTTCCAACCCACATCTCACTTCTTATATTTGCAATGTATAAACAATCACAAAGCACTAGAAATCTCTATTTAAGCCTCAATAACATGGCATATAACATGTATATAACATACATACATAAGTGCTATCAAAACCCTAATCAAGAAAATTCTCAAATCTCAACTTGGGTTGGGATTTACTTACCTTGTTATGGAGAGATTTCACTAACTCTTCCTTTCACTTGGTTTGCTTGACTTTTTCTCTACTCTTAAACAAAAGAACAAAAACCCTCAATATTCAATATATACTAAAACTCACAAAGCTTCACAACCAAAGTAAGAATCCTTACCTTAGGATGCCTTAGGTTGATTTTCTACCCCAAATCACTCCAAAAGCCCTTTAAAACTCCTTGATCAAAAGAAAGAGAATTTGAGAGGAAGCAAGAGAGGAGAGTGGCGATGGAGAAGAAGAATGAAGGGTTTGCAATGACTTAATTCCTTTTAATGAAATTTATACACAAGCATTCCCATTTTGCCCTTACTCTTCTTTGGGAATTCTATCTATATCCTTTGATTCATTACAAACACACCCCCATAGCAACATATTCTCCATGAAAATTCCTTACATTTTACTCCCCACTTTTCCTGCTAATTAGGGGTAGAATGGTCAAATTGCCCTTAGGGAAGAAAATATCTAAAACTTAACAAACATTTTGGTCGGCCTGTCGCCTCGGCGAGGAAGCTTCTGTCGCCGCGGCAAAACTGTCCAATAGCTTCCCATGGCTTCAACACCTCTTTGCCGCAGCGAAGATTCTTCTTCGCCCTGGCGAAGCTTGGAACACTGAACTTCTTCTATTTTCAGCCAATTTCAGGGCAAGTATTCAACATAACACTCAATCAAAGGTCAACCAAACAATATTACCAAGAAACCAACTCAAATAAGAGCAAAAGAAGAAATAATAACTACGTACCTCAAGTGAGGCGTTACAGTTCCTTATTGTAGGTTATTATTCCTTTAGATTTTATATGTAACTTCAACCTCATTTTAAGTTTCGTTTTCCTTCTAATTCGTAAAACCTGGATACTAATATGAAAGCTTAATTATTTTATTTGAAGTTATATATGTTTATATATATTTTTTTTTATTGCACATATGTGTTGTTAAAGATATAGTGGGAAAGAGAAGCATTTTAGCTTGAGGGGAAGTGTTGACCAAAGATTCATGGTGCTAACTGCAAATTCTCAAAATGAGAGGACCTGATTGTAAGTTTCACAAACGATGTCGTTTTACTTTATATGTAAAAGTCTTCTTCTCAAACGATTACTCAGTGTTTGTTAGTTGTTGTAACTTTACTCTTTTCACACTTTCTTCACTTGTTTCATTCAAGTATAAAAGCAGCCAATGTATTGTAACAAGTTAGTTAATCAAATACAAAGAATCATTCAGCTAGAATCAAGTTTTATCTTTCTTTTCTTTCAATTTTACATGGTATTAAAGCCCTAGACTTATGTCAGTGGCTAATTTTTCTGGTGTTAATCTCTCTACAGATAGCATGAATAAGCTCCAAAATTCCATTGATTCGCACTCCTCAATCTTCTCTTCAAGCTTACAAGTGATTAATCCAAAGTTGACGCGAGACAACTATCGAGATAACTATCGATTTTGGCGGTCGCAAGCTCTCTCTACTGTTGGAGCTCATGAGCTAGAAGAACACCTCACAGGTTTAATTCCGTGTCCTTAACCTCTGATTTCATCAGAAAGTGAGGATTCCTCTGAAATAGAAAGTGCTTTGTCAAAAAATAACCTAACCAAAAGCAAAGTTAATCAGGCGTATATTGCTTGGAAACGAACTGACACGTTTCTAGTCACTTGGTTACTTGCTTCACTCTCTGAATGCATGTTCAGTTGTATATCAAAATGTCGGCTCTCGTCTGAGATTTCGTTTGCTCTTGAGCGAGAATTCCTAAATGATTCTAAAGCCAGAGCTCTACATTTGAAACACTTATTACAAACTACACAAAAAGGCAATTTGAGCATTAGTGAATATGTTAAAAAGATGAAAAATATAGCAGAAAGTTTCTCTGCTAGTGGTCCAGTTATCACTAATGAAGAAGTATTCCAGTATGTGTTAGATGGTTTGGGACCTGAATTTGATGCAGCGGTGGTTAACTTGACCACACGACTTGAGTCCAAGTTTGACATAGTGACACTTTAAAAAGCATAGTTCTTGTTACAGAAGTATGAGCTGAGGTTAGAAAAGTTCAATTCTGTTGAGTTTACAACCAGTTATGTCCATGTTGCTGCTGTGAGTAATGCTGGTCTTAAGTCAACCCTCATCAACACCAATAGTCCTTCAAATGATCCTGTAAAAACTTCAAGTTCCTCATCTCAATTTCCTCCATCTCTAAACACTTTATCCAATCCATCTTTTGCATAACACTGTCCTTTACCTGCTCCAGTTCCTTCTGTCCATTATGGCCAATTTTTTCAACCAGCACCTTCTAATCCTTATGGTGCTTCAACCATTTCCTATCAACTGGATTTATAAATTCTGGACAAGGAAGAGGTAGAGAAAACGGTAGGGGCAGGCCAATTTGTCAACTATGCAGTAAAATTGGACACACTGCTGTGTAGTGTTATCATCGGTACAATTCCAATTACAATGGTGCCTCTCCTCAGTACAACTCAAATAATCACTCCATAGGTGTTGTAAGTGGTGCATCTCCACAGTTTAGCTCTACTAATCACTCAATTAGGAATGGATCTTTCAACTCTAGTGAGCAACACAATGGATCCTTTACCAATCCAAACAATCAAACAAGCCAGATCCCTTCACAGCAACCTCCTTAGTCACTACAACCTGGATTTGTTTCCTTTACTACAGCACAACCACATGGCAACTATAGTAGTCTTAACCACCAGCAACAGCATTTTGCTTCAGAACCACAAAACTTCACAGTACCAAGACAGCAGATCACAACACCAACTCAAGCCTACTTTGCCTTTCAACAACCTTCACCATTTAACTCCCAACCTTCCTCCTATATACGTGTTGCATCAATTGCCTCCACAACTGCGCAAGATCCTGCCTGGTATATGGACTCCGTGGCTACGGATCATGTCACTTCTGACCTCAATCAGTTTACTATTAGCAGAAATTATGGTGGAGCTGATTAGCTACAAGTAGGCGGTGGTGAGTTCCTTGATATCTCACATATTGGTTTTACTTCCTTACCTAGCTCTTTACAATCTAAATGTTTACACTTAAAAAACGTTTTGTGCGTACCTAGAATCACTAAAAATATCCTCAGTATATCTAACTTCACTAAGGATAATAATGTTGTTGTAGAATTTAACTCTGATTGTTGCATTGTTAAGGACAAACTTTCTAGGGCAGTGTTACTACAGGAAGAACTTAATGCTGGACTCTATCAGTTGAGACTTCCCTCCGTCAGTCCTCTACCTTCCTTCGATCACTCTACTGCACCTCTTAAATGTCAAAGCTTTGTCTCATCAATTGAACCTACCAAAGTAACTCCTATTGAACCTGAGTCTAATGTTAAGAATAAGTCTGCTGTTGTTGATAATGAGTCTGTAGGAAGCTATGTTAAAACCTCAAGTCTTGTTACCTGCAATAATACCGTGTCTAGACTTAAGAACAAATCCACAAACTGTCTTAAGGATAGCAGTACCAAAAATAGCAGTAATAAAATAGCTAGTGAATCTGTTTTGAAAAATTGTAATTCTATTACCTTCAATAAAGATGGTCCTACTTTGACACATTGTACTAGTATTTCTGACATATCTGTTGTTAATGCATCATCAAATACTACTCATGATAATTGTTTTAAAACTACTAAGGTTAATTATTTTGTTATTGTTAATAATGATTCTGATATACATGTTACGTCTTGTTCTGCTACTGTTGATAATGATTCTCATATACCTGCTATTATTAATAATGATTCTTATATACCTGATGCATCTTGTTCTGCTATTGTTGGTAATGATTCTCATATACCTGAAGCATCAGCATATTGTTTCCATGTGCCTGGTGTTGCTAAAGCTAATGGTTATGCTATCATTGATAGCAATTCTGATATGTCTGATGCATTAGCATGTACTGTCAATATTCCCTTACATACTATCTCTGATTATGGTTCTCATGTATCTGATATTGCAACTTCATTAAATACAAATCATGTTGAAATATACAGAAATCATTTGTCTAATGTAGATGCATCTATTTCTACTACTTCTAACTTTAAGTCCAGCATCACTGACTACCCATCCTTAGCATTACAAGCTGTTAGCAACAAAGAAATTGTTTCCTCACTTTGGCACAATCGTCTAGGTCATCCACACTCAATAGTTTTTAATAAAATCATGCGTCAAGTGCACTCAAATTCATCACAAACCATTCCAGCCCTATCCTTTTGTGATGCCTGCCAACTTGGTAAAGTACATAGAAACCATTTTCCTATCTCTAATTCTAGAGCCACTAAACCATTAGAATTGATTCATAGTGATATATGGGGTCCTGCTCCAATTGCATCTTTAGAAGGGTTCAAATACTATATCCATTTTGTAGACGATTATAGCCGATTTACATGGTTATTTCCCTTAAGAACCAAGGCTGAAGTGAAATCTATCTTTATCAAATTCCATCACTTAGCCGAGAGACAATTTCAACATAAAATCCATTGTTTACAATCTAATCAAGGGGGTGAGTATAGAGGTTTAGTGCCTTACTTAACAAAATCAGGAATCCAGTTCAGGTACTCGTGTGCTCATGTCCATCAACAAAATGGATGTAGTGAAAGGAAGCATAGACACTTAGTAGAGACAGGTTTAACCTTGCTAGCACATCCATCCATGCCTATGCATCTCTGGTGGTTTGCATTTGACACTGCTGCTTTTCTAATAAATAGAATGCCAATTGTTGTTTTGGATTTTATTTCACCATATCAGGTGCTATTTGGTAGACCACCCCTATACAATTCTTTAAAGGTCTTTGGGTCAGCTTGTTTCCCTTATTCGAGATATTATAATCAACATAAACTTAGCTTTCACTCTTCAAAGTGTGTGTTTGTAGGATATAGCCTAATTCACAAAGGTTATAAGTGTCTAAGTGCCGAAGGAAAAATTTACATTATTCCTAATGTTAAATTTCATGAAATAGAGTTTCCTTTTAAATCTGGTTTTGGTCAGCCTAATACTTCAGCTCCTAGAGAATCATATTTCAATGAGTCACACACTAACTTTCCTTATTCTAAAGTTCAACCACCTGTTGTGTCCAACAAAAAAGTCTCTAGCAGAACTAAGCTCTCAAGTTAGTCCTCCTTCAACAATTGGAGTATCAAATTCTATCTCACCATTACCATCCTATAAGTTTGCCCTTGCTCATAAAAACATATCCAATTTACCTACTGATTCCTCTCCAAATCCTTTAAACTCAGTACCTAGTTCATCAAATCCAGTATCCAATCCTCAAAATCCCTCACTTGAACTAATACCTCCTCCCTATAAGCAACCTGATTCCAAAACCTCAAACCATACACTTGAAATAGATCTGACCTCTTATCCACCTCTTAATCCTCCTGTTATTTCTCAATCATCCTCTGCTCAAGATCTTACTCACTGCCCACTTGTAGTTGACTTGGCACCCTCACATTTTCTCACTATATCAATTGATCAGCCTCCAAATATAAACACACATCCCATGTTAACAAGGTCCAAAACCAACTCTTCAATTACCCTTAACCATTCCAGAAAAACTGCACTTATTTTATCTGATAACACACCTGTCCTTCTTGAACCCTGTTCTGTGAAAGAGGCGTTAGCTACTGCTGAGTGGAAAGAAGCTATACAAATGGAATTTGATGCCCTAAAGAACAACACCACCTGAATTTTGGTACCAAGAACTAATGACATGCATGTAGTTGGGAATAAATGGGTGTTTAGGACCAAGTTTCATGCTGATTGTTCTTTGAAAAAATACAAAGCTAGATTGGTTGCTAAAGGGTTTCAACAAACACCTGGGTTGGACTACTTTAAAACATTTAGTCATGTAGTTGAACCTTCCACCATTAGGATCATTCTCACCCTTGCTGTAACTAATGGTTGGGGCATCCAACAAATGGATGTGAATAATGCATTTCTTAATGGTACTTTGAATGAGGTTGTCTACATACAGCAATCTAATGGATTTGAGAATGCTGCTGTTCCCTTTTATGTTTGCAAATTAAACAAGGCTCTCTATGGTCTAAAACAGGCTCCTAAAGCCTAGTTTGACAAGCTAAAGTTTGCACTTATTGCCAAAAGATTTCAGAATTCTATTTCTGATTCTAGTTTGTTCATTTGCAAAAATTCTAATCATGTTACATATATTCTTATATATGTGGATGACATTTTGATTACTGGATCCAACTCTACATCCATACATCTGCTTGTTCAAGAATTGAATGATCAATTTGCTTTAAAGACACTTGGTTCTATCAAATACTTCTTGGGGTTAGAAGCTACAAGAACACCTGTTGGTATTCACTTAAAACAGACTAAGTATATTGTTGATTTACTTGTCAAGACACAAATGCTGGATTCTCATGCATGTTCTACCCCAATAGCCATTGGTACAAAACTCTATTCTACAGATAGCCCTTTGTTCAAAAACCATAGTCTTTATAGGAGCACCATATGAGCTCTTCAATACCTTACCCTTACTAGACCTGATATAAGCTTTGTAGTAAACAAACTAAGTCAGTACCTTCAAGCTCCTACTGAGCTCCAATGGTAGGCTTGCAAAAGGGTTTTAAGGTATATAAAAGGCACTCAATACTATGGACTACAGTTCAGGCCAATAGCATCTCTTAGCATTGAATGTTATGCTGATGCGGATTGGGGTAGTAGTTTGGATGACCGAAGGTCTACAAGTGGGTATTGTGTGTTCTTTGGTCCTAACCTAATTCAATGGAGCTCACGAAAACAAAAGGTGGTCACTTTTTCATCAACCAAAGCTGAGTATAGGGCATTAGCTAACACAGCCACTGAAATTGCATGGCTGCAGAGCATGTTTTCAGAGTTAGGATTGAACCTAAAACTCCTCTGTTATTTGGTGTGATAATGTGAGTGCAGGTGCTCTTGCCGCAAATCCTATTTTCCATGCACAGACCAAACACATTGAAATTGATGTTCACGACATCAAGGATCAAGTTCTTGCATAGAAGATTGCAGTTCAATATGTACCATCTTAGCTACAGGTAGCAGATGTGCTAACCAAGGCTCTATCAGTAACTCAATTTCAAGAACTGAGACAGAAACTAAATGTTCTTGCCATGCCTTTTGCTGATTTAGAAATGACTACAGCAAATCTGTTAACACCACAGTTGAATAGCAGATCAGTAGTCATAATTTGAAGCTGAACAACCGATTAGTTGTCATGTTTGGTCAGAATCAATGCAATTATATAGTAGACCAATAGTTATGTTAACAGATCAGCAGTTTGTTGATGCAGACATAATGCAGCAGATCAGTTGTTATGGTGTTGTTAATGCAGATTTTATGCAGATTTTTTATACAGTTTTGATGTGGTGATGCAGAAGTAATGCTCACGTAGTAGATCAGTTGTTATGGCGCAGAATTTTTATGCAATTTTGATATGGTGATACAGAAGTAATGCAGCAGATCAGTTGTTATGGTGTTGTTAATACAGAATTTTGTATGCAGTTTTTTATGATGTAGAAGCAATGCAACAGATTAGTTGTTATGGTGTTGTTAATGCAGATTTTATGCAGTTTTGGTGGTATAGAAAAATAATGCAGCAGATCAGAAGTAATGAAGTCGTTTTGGAGATTTTTTTTTTTTTTTTTTTTTTTTTTTTTTNAGACTAAGTATATTGTTGATTTACTTGTCAAGACACAAATGTTGGATTCTCATGCATGTTCTACCCCAATGGTTGTTGGTACAGAGCTCTATTCTACAAATAGCCCTTTGTTCAAAGACCCTAGTCTTTATAGGAGCACCATAGGAGCTCTTCAATACCTTACCCTTACTAGACTCGATATAAGCTTTGTAGTAAACAAACTAAGTCAGTACCTTCAAGCTCCTACTGAGCTCCAATGGCAGGCTTGCAAAAGGGTTTTAAGGTATATAAAAGGCACTCAATACTATGGACTATAGTTCATGCCAGTAGCATCTCTTAGCATTGAATGCTATGCTAATGCGGATTGGGGTAGTAGTTTGGATGACCGAAGGTCTACAAGTGAGTATTGTGTGTTCTTTGGTCCTAATCTAATTCAATGGAGCTCAAGAAAACAGAAGGTGGTTGCTCTTTCATCAACCGAAGCTGAGTATAGGGCATTAGCTAACACAGCCACTGAAATTGCATGGATGTAGAGCATGTTTTCAGAGTTAGGATTGAACCTGAAAACTCCTCCCGTTATTTGGTGTGATAATGTGAGTGCGGGTGCTCTTGCCGTAAATTATATTTTCCATGCACGGACCAAACACATTGAAATTGATGTTCACTACATTAGGGATCAAGTTCTTGCAAAGAAGATTGCAGTTCAGTATGTATCATCTTAGCTACAAATAGCATATGTGCTAACCAAGGCTCTATCAGTAACTCAATTTCAACAACTGAGACAGAAATTGAATGTTCTTGCCATGCCTTTGCTGATTTAAAAATGACTGCAAAGGTTAAGCATTAGCAAATCTGTTAACACCACAGTTGAATAGCATATTAGTAGTCATAATTCGAAGCTGAACAAAAGATCAGTTGTTATGGTGTTGTTAATGCAAAATTTTTATGCAGTTTTGATGTGGTGATGCAGAAGTAATGCAGCAGATCAGTTGTTATGGTGTTGTTAATGCAGAATTTTTATGCAGTTTTTGATGTGGTGATGCAGAAGTAATGTAGCAGATTAGTTATTATGGTGATGTTAATGCTGAATTTTTATGCAGTTTTTGATGATGTAGAAGTAATGCAGCAAATAAGTTGTTATGGTGTTGTTAATGCAGATTTTATGCAGTTTTGGTGGTGCAAAAAAATAATGCAGCAGATCAAAAGTAATGAAGTAGTTTTGGAGAATTTTTTTTTGGAGAAGAGCAGTAAGAGAAGTCAATTTCTTTACTGATAGAAAGTAAAATCAGTTTAGTTTGCAGGGAAATGTTGAAGATATAATGGAGCAGAGTAGCAACTTAAGAGTAGTAAGAGGAGTCAAGTTCTTTACTGATAGAAAGTAAAATCAATTTAGTTTGCAAGGAAATGTTAAAGATATAATGGAAAAGAGAAGCAGCTTAGCTTGAGAGGAAGTGTTGACCAAAGATTCATGGTGCTAACTGCAAGTTCTCAAAATGAGAGGACCTGACAAAAAGTTTCACAAACGATGTCGTTTTACTTTATATGTAAAAGTCTTCTTCTTAAACGATTACTTAGTGTTTGTTAGCTGCTGCAACTTTACTCTTTTCACACTTTCTTCACTTGTTTCATTCAAGTATGAAAGCAGCCAATGTATTGTAACAAGTTAGTTAATCAAATACAAAGAATCATTCAGCTAGAATCAAGTTTTATCTTGCTTTTCTTTCAATTTTACATGTATAAGCTTTGGGACTTGATGAATTCCTCAAATTTCGCCCTGACATTGCTAGAGGATGATAAAGAGCTAGCCGTAGCTCGTCATGTTCAATTTAGGACTACCTTGCATATGTTGGCTCAAAACCCCTCAACATTCGTTTGCAGAAGCACAGGACCATTGAAGAGACTTATCAGCTCATGTTAGTTTCAACTAATTCTCGCACTCAATATTGACAATGCCACTGTTCTAAATTTCCATAAATGTATTAATCAAAAGAAAGAAAACCATGGAAAACTAATTTTAATTTTAATGAACTTGCTGCTGTAATTAATTAATTCTCACTCTTAGTCTCAGGAATGAAGTTTACTCAGGATACTAATTACTTCACTTCAACTCCAGCACTTAAATTAGTCTAATGTCTTTGGAGAGAGACAATACAACGAGATGATGTCGATGCTTTGGTACTCATAAGAAATCCTTCAAATTTATTGTTCAATGCTGCAAAATCGGGGAAATTTGCATTCTTGGCTGAGATTATTCGCTCTTATCCTGATTTGGTCCATGAATTAGATGAAAATGATCTAACCATATTTCACATTGCTGTTTTATATGGTCATACCAATATACTGGATCTAGTTCATGAAATCGACTTTGCTAAGGAATTGTTAGCGACTTACCAAGATAAACATGGAAATAACATATTATAGTTAGCTGCAAAACATCAACATCCAAGTTTAGCCAATACTGTTTCAGATGCAACTCTAGAAATGCAGCGAGAATTGTTAAAGTTTAAGGTAACAAATTTTGTAAGTTACTTCTTTATAATATTTATTATTATAATTTTCTATTTGACATCAATTTATGGTGTTTTCATTTTAATTTGAAAATTTGTGCATGTTTTAGTTGAAAAGATTGTAAAGCCTTCGTTTAAAGAAATGAGAAATTCAAAGGGCAAAACACCTAGCCAGTTATTCACCATTGAATATTCAGAGTTATTGAAAAGAGCAAAAGTTTCAACGAAGAAGACAGCCAGCTCATGTATGACTATTGCATCACTTGTAACTATTGTCATGTTTGCAGCAACCTTCAGGACTGTAGGTAACAATGGTGAAATAGGAAGATCAATCAATATGAGGGAGAAATTATACCAGGTTTTTGTGATCGCAGATGCAATCGCATTATTTTGCTCTTTTATCTTGATGCTGATTTTTTGGTCCATCTTTACACTACACTGTGCAGAAGATGATTTTCTCAAGTCCTTGCCACTTAATTTGATGATCGGACTCTCAGCATTCTACGTGTCAATAATTACAATGCTGATAGCATTTACCTC